TTATAACAGAAGATAGTACTCTGTAGGATCAGGCTGAACAAGTTGAGCCTTCAATCGAATTTCCCAGCCCTGCATCACAGTACAGGCCAAAGAGAGTCACTACTACGTTTGAGCCAAATGGAGAATGTGCTCCATCTCGTAGCCTAGCTCCCCTACTGAGTTTCCTTCTACCTTCCTCTGATTGGTATCAAATTATTGGAAATTTTGGCAGCACTTTCCCTGTGCAGGGAGAATTTCCAAGCTTCTTCTAATAGAGAAATAATCTAACTCTCCGAATTCTGCAAAATTTCGGCAGAGCTTCCCATAGGAAAAGTGCCTTTTCAGAATTTCTACGAGCCCAAAAAAATGACTAACTCTTTTCAGGTTGGTGAAAATTTTGGCAGCGCTTCCCGTAGGAACAGGAGGCTACCAAGATTTACACAAAGCTGAAAATGCAATGACAAAGTACATCTCTACTTGGGACTGATTCCTGACGCTTCCTTGGTAGTTAGAACCAGAGATAGTTTTACATGATCCTCTTTTGAATCAAGAGCTATCACTAGTCCTAACTCCTAGTAGGGTCAGTCCTACCATATCCCAAGCTTCCCTCCCAACATCCATCTCACCTACCTATAGCTCCAGCACTCAGTGAGCATCTAAAGCAACTAGGCTACCAAAAAGATGCCCAAGACGAGTGCCCGTAAACATGCATAAACAACATCTCTCTCAGCTCCACATTAGTTTAATCCAAATAGTTCATTAATCTCTCAATTCTTTTGGCCCTGAGTAGACCCCCTTCCCTATGGCATAGGATCAGACCGCCCCAACTTAGGGGTACGCCCGACCTGCCTAAGCAAGTGACTAGGGTACGCACAACTAGACTACCCCAACTTAGGGGTATGCCTAGCTTACATGACTGAAACGTATGTCCCGACTGCCCCAACTTAGGGGTATGTCCGCCTCAACATAAACTGTGTACATAAAGCATATGACCAGACCGCCCTAACTTAAGGGTACGCCTGGCTTCTGCTTAACTGACGACATGAGGCATAAGACTAGACTGCCCTAACTTAAGGGTATGCCTAGCCAGCCTTAAACGAAGTTTACATATGGCATAGGATTAGACTGCCCCAACTTAGGGGTATGCCTAATCTGCCTAAACAAATGAGAACGACGAATGGTCAGACCGCCCTAACTTAAGGGTACGTCCAACCTACATAACATCAACGACAAGAGCATATCGCTAGGCCGCCCCAACTTAGGGGTACGCCTAGTTAGCCTAAACAATTTAAGTTACAATAAGGCAATTGCGACCAGACCGCCCTAACTTAAGGGTACGCCTGATCTGCCTGAACAAGCACAAACGACGTATGACTAAGCCGCCCTAACTTAAGGGTACGCTTAGCCTCCGCAACGACAGTTTGAAACAAACATAAATACTTCGGTACAAAGTGTATAATTTCCTTTCTTCTTTAGGTAGATGGTCAGACCTACCCAACTTAGGGAGACATCCAACCCTGCCTTGTCTTTAAAAGGGAAAATAAAAGAAGATTTATACTAACTCTCTGCTCCTTTATATTATTACGAGCATAAGACTGAACCGCCCTAACTTAAGGGTACGCTCAGTCTGCCCGGGTTACCTTCACTTTATATTTTTCAGTTGTCTCTCTTCTCATTTTGTTCTACCTGACTTACTGACTGGCTTTCCCAACTTAGGGTGCCCGGGCTGCCAGATGATATAAATTCATATAATATGTATCAAATTTATACTTTGGTTGACAATTAAGTTCACAGCTTATGGCTAAGCCGCCCCAACTTAGGGGTACGCTTAGTCTTATGCCTTTGTCCCCCTCAGAAGAAACATACACAGAACTGGGTCTACGCAACTTAGAACATCCCCAGCTCTGCTTTCAGCAACCCGAAAAGAAACACGAGGATTTTGAGTCCTCCCAACTTAGGGTGTCCGTCCTCCTGTTCAGAAACCTCAGAAGAAAACAAGTGGCTGGACTGTCCAACTTAGGATGCACTCAGCCCAGCAGACAAAAATAAAACACAGCACTGAACCCACTCAACTTAGAGGGATTTCAGCCTTGTGTTGACCCGGTCAAACACATGCAAAACACCTTCAGCCCGCCTTTCCCCATGTTTCCTTTTCTTAATTCAAACAGATCCAGTATCTGACTTTCACACATAATTCGTTCCTTTCAGTTCGCAGGTTCAAGAAACAAAGTCAAAAATAGTATTTATCATAGTTCCAGTCAGACAAAAGTAGTAGGTTTAGGGGAATACGGGATCACACGAGTAAGCGAGATTATACCTGAGTGTTCCCTGCCTCCAGAACCCCGCCTGGGCTCCAGCAGAGCTCCCGCAATCGGTGGGTGGACCTCCCACAAGGTCTTGATGCGGACCTACGGGTTGCAATCCCGCCTGCCGCCTTCCTCTCGTAACCTCAGACTAGACTTAGAGTAAGAAGGGCATAAGTAGTTTCATACGCTCGAGATACCAGGATGGGACAGACTCAACTCGCAGGAGAGGGACTTGTATTCTTCAATCTCCTGAGGGCCCCGCAATGGCGACCAAAACGCTGTATGGATGGCCAAACCCCGGCCCAAAACGCAAAGCACTGTACTTTGACGATCTTTCTAGTCGCCACAGTAATCCCCCTTGTCAAGCCTGATCACCACCCTCAATCACCATGCTTCCACCTCTGACCAATCGGCAGTCACTCAATCCTAAAGAGACTGCGTTCAAGTAAAGCACACCTTGTGCTTTATTCAGAACGTGATCCGAAACGTAGCAGTGGCCTGCCAAATACGTGTATAGCAAACATGCGCTCCAGCCTGAGTATCGTGCCACCTCACAATACTGAACACATGCACCACCGTTACCACACTCATTGATACTCAGCATTAGGCATAGGGCAAGTCCAGCAGTGCGCCTTGCAAGAAAAAAAAAAACAGCCAACCACAATTACAACCAGTAATATATTGCTCACTCAACAGTCGTGCGCAGCCGTTATGCACCACTGTTAGGCCAGACCATATGTAGCAGAGGGCACAGTTCCACAAGAATTCCTTAGAACTCGAAACTCAACAGGTTCAGCAATCGAGTCACAACCCCCCCCTCGTTCTACAAATGACCCCCCCCCCTCCGGAGGCCTGTTCCAACGACAATGTGCAAGCGGCTCACTCAAAATAACACAGTCTGCTGCATCCTCTCATCCAATCGACTCCAAGCGGCACCTGTGTACCTGCTTTGAACCGCTGCTATGTAGTGAGAACGGTTGTGCACACAGCAACTGTTTCTCAGCAGTCTGTCGCCCGAATGCCGCAGCAATAACCGTATGCGGTCACACAGTCCGTTACCCGCAGTAGTTCAAACCGTGACCACACGTATAACTACTTGTAAGCAATACCTTAGGCGGGCTACTCAGTCACATACAGCAGGTATGCATCAGGCATACCAACGTAGCCAGCTCTCAGCAGTTCGCACAGTCCGACCAGTGACAGCGCAGTAGCCTCTGCGAGCAGCGGATGCTCAGCAGTTTCGGAGTCCAGCGAACAGTAGCCCGACTGATAGCAACTCTTTTAGACTGTGCAAGTGGCAGTCCTTCGCTGTTATACCGCAGCCAATTCATCCCTCAACCAGCAGTAAGCACAGTAGCATTGTTGATCTTGACAGCGGCAACCCTCGTGCTCATTACTTCATTCAGCGGTAACTGCAATTTGGTGACCAAGAGCACCAATATAGGTCTAGGCAAAAACAGCAGTATCAAGATACAGCGTAGCAGCTGATCCAGTCCTTTCCGGTCGGGCCTAGATACGGTATCAGTGGTAGTAAGGGCTCGCTTGTTTAACCGAATGGACCAGACACATTACTCCACCAACTGAAGATCGGCCATGCACCACTACCCACAGAATCAAGATAGAGCTTTCAATCTGTCAGTCTCTCCAACCATGTTGCGGGCATAGCACAGACTAGCTGCGGGGGTAGGTATAGTGCTGGCTACAGGGTGATTGCGAGCGGCGTCAGGTGAGTACTGTCAACCCTCTTGACTCCTGCTGTGCCCGCCACTTCTCTTTCCCTTCTCCAGGCTATCCTCACACGTGCGACTCCCTCTCTCTCTCTTATACCCACTGCCTACTCAAAACAACGAGCTTCGAAAATGACGAGGCGGCCTGGCTCCGCTACCCACCAAAGGTGTAGAATGATGATGAATCTTCCACTAGGACACGGGAAGGTCATTGTTCCTCCCCCATCTCACTTATCCTTCCCTTCTCCCAGCCTGATCAGATCTACTCTGCCTCCGATCCAGCAGCCTTGCGCTGCGACAGAGAGGACGTCCATACTCGTAGAGAAGGACAAATGATAATCACTATGGATCACAGTTGAATGCCAACATGAGCGCGAAGACGGCGAACGTGAAGTCACGAACAAAGGACAGCCATCAGACGACGAAGACGAGCACCAGGATATAGGTGCTAAGCACCAAAGCCGACGAGCGGCGATGACGAGGGCTCCCGGGGTCGTGAAGGCGACGGTGGTCAGGATGCCGAGCATGAAACCATCACAACAAGGGCTGCGCCCCGCCCTTGGATGAGCATGATAAAAACGGGCGCACGGAGCAGCATGATCTATAGAACAAGTTGAGAATGAATATCGTGCTAGAAGGTGGGAAAATACATTCCCACGAAAAAACTTCAAACCCCGCGCAGCCTCTGTTTCCCGCACCGGCTAATCTGTTGCCTCATCGTCCAACATGTGAATGCCATCCAACTTGCAGTGCCTCCAAGCCTTGTCCAGCACCTTGTTTCGCTCGATTCCACCGTGAATCGGGCGATATTTCTGTTTCATACTTGCAACTGCACGAGCCGCACTTTCGTGCGGAGTTCCGTGCAAAGTTCCGTGTGGGGAGTGCCTATGGGGAATCGTGCAGGTTTTTTATTTTTATTATTATTATTTTATCTTTTTGTGGGAGGGGAACGGGGGGGTGTATGACAGGAAAATGGCGATATGGCGAGGAGAGGGGGATGTGGACGAGGAGGACGACGAGGATAGTGAGGACGACGAGGAGTCGTCGTCGAGATGGGGAAGGAGAAGAGATGGATGGAGGGAAAAGAGGAAGGGCAGGAGGAGGAGGACGAGTGGGAGGAGGAGACATGGACGGCGAGGAAGGGGAGGACACGAGGAAGGGAAGGAGGCGAGGAGGCATGGAAGATGAGGAAGTACGAGGAGGAGGAGGAGACAAGGAGGATGAGGAAGGGCAGGAGGAGGAGGCCGAAGAGGAGGAGGAGGAGGAGACGAAAAGGAGAAGGGAGGAGGAGACATGGAGGATGAGGAAGGGAGGAGGAGCAAGGTGAGGCAGTACTCCTGTAACTTTTTTGTTCATCTTGCTTATAATTTTGGGGGGGGACCTCAAATGCACCGTTTCGACCCCGGCCTTTTTTTTTTTTGAGGGGGGTGACGGGTCGTTCCCCGCACATGCCGTGCGCCGCACAGGATCGGTTGGGTGCGTGCGCCGCACGTAGGGAACCGCCCGCACGGCGTGCGCTTGCAAGTATGCTTTGTTTCCTTCTTCCACCATACCCACTCTCTCTTCTTTTTCGCGCGCCTCGTTTCTATCCTAACTCTCTCTCTAATGTTCTAACACATAAACTATCACTACCACTATCGTCGCCTGGCCAAGGAACATCAGAGTTGCACGTTGTCTTGCCTTATTCCGCCAAGGAATGATCGAGCTCTCCAACACTAGCCCCTCCCCGTCACCTTCTTCGTCTTCTACACCACCTCAGTCTTCGACTACACACGACACTGGTCTGCGCCAGATTCACCCCCTCTTTCCTAGTTCTGTGTTCTCACCTCTTTCCCCCCTTTTCCTTGCCTTGGCTGCTGTGCTTCTCGTCGCCTATGCCAACGGTATTCCGCTCCCCCTATTAGCGCACCTGGCAGCTAGCGGCCGTATACTATATCGGTCAGCGGTCTCAACTTCCCGTCCTTCTCGCATCTCTCTCGTCCGCTTCATGCCTTCTCCACATAGCGCAGCGCTTTCGGTGACTGGCCTGCTCGAATAGCAGCATAACTAAGATAAGCATCGTATGCAAACGACAAAAGACAAAGTCGGCCCCCCTCCCCAATTTATGCGTGTCATCCTTGCGTAGGGGCCATGATAATCTTCCCTGTATCGTTCCGATTTTAACGGATGTCCCGAAGGACCATAACAGGGCAGTAGCCTTGGGACATCACCGGCGGGCCGACCGGCCCTCGACAATTCAAAACTACCTGGTTTTACTCATCAGGTTCCATCATCTGAATTTGAACTGAGGTCTGTATTCCAACATTTCATGGGTGTACCCACTGAGCTAGGCTCTTGGGTCCACGGCCAGTCCTGGTACCGGCACCGGGCTGTGTCCCAAAAAAATAAAATAATAATAAAATAGATAATAATAAAAATAAAAAAGGTATGAAAAATTTAGGTTTCACGAGAGTGGTCGAGGAAGGGGAAGGATCGTCGGACTCTGCCCTCGGCCCTGCCCATCGGGCCCGTAGTCGGACTCCCCAGCAAAACTAAGGGGGATAGTCATGCGGGACCCTCAACCCCTCAGCTTTCCTCCATGGCGCTCCTTTGCTCCTCCGCTGCCGACTGCTGGCCTCGATCCCGGGTCTTCGTAGTATCAGTCAAAGGTCGTATCCTATAGGGCTAAGCCCAAGCCTGGAGGTAACAGGCACAGTCTTGCTTATAAAAACTTCCGGTTCAGGCTTAGGCCTGTCGGACTGTACTTAGGCCGTGATTTGGCACACCGATCGCGTCTTCGGCTCTTACGCACCGGCCCCTGCTGCATGATGGGGTATTTTTTTCCCTTTGGCTGTCGTCGCGCATGCAGCACAAGTGTGCCGTCACCTAGCAACTCCATTTTCCTCACTAGGCTTCCTTCCTCGAAAACTATACTTTTACCACCTAAGCGTCGGGAAAACCCCGATATGGTGCCGCCCGCGGCTTCTACCGTTGACCAACATCCTGGTAGGCCTAGGAAATCCCGCACTTTGCACCTCACTGATCCTAGTGCTGCGGTTAGTAAGCCAAGCGGATTCAATGGCTAGACCTCAGCCCAGACTGCCCAAGAGCGGGTCTCGGACACGAAACCGCTCCGCGTGGGCTACTGTAGCCTTCTCACACCCTTTTTCGAGTTCACCCCAATAGGCACAGGTGTAGCTCAAACGCCCGCCTAAGTACCGCGCATGCCCTCAAAGTGCACGTCCACACACTCTCTAATCAGATCCAAAAGCGAGCGCCACTCCCAACATCTAAGAACTGGTTGTGGTCACTCCAAAATGGGACACTCTCTCGGATATTGCTGAAAACCCACCTTCTGTGAGATGCTAAATTGTGCCCAAATACCCTTGTAAGGGTATTCGGGCCGACAACGCAGCTCAACAAGGAAAGAGGGTGAAGCTGGACGGGAGGCCGCGACACTAGGTGCTGCTGAAACTGGGAGCGGAGACGAGACCGACAGGGTGATGGGATCGATGGACTGAATCGAGACAGGGAGCCGAGACAGGGGGAGGCGCGCAAAGATAAGGGCGGAGATGGCAGAGAAAGCGGGTTGTGACGTAGTGGGAAGTACAAAACTCGAACGATTCTTGATAGAATCAGCCGAGTAAAAGCAGTATTCCGAGGTTCTCGGGGTGGGCGACCCCGAATATGATGTTAGAATTAGACGAAAATTAGTGTAGAGGGAGTTAGTGGGATGATGAGTTGTGCGGAGAGATGGCGGAGGCAAGGAAGAAGGAACGCAAAAACACACATCTCGCTGATTCACAAGCGAAATCAGATGGAGTAAGGATCTATCTAGGGGTTTTGGGCATGGGCGAGCCTAATGGTAGTGTTAGTTTTAGCAATGGGTTAGTAAGATGGAAGTTGAAAGAGAAAAGGACCGCGCGGAGGTATGGCGGAGACGAGCTATAGCAAGGATAAAAAAGCGGAGATCTTCCTCGATCCTGCACGGGATCGCGTGAGTTAAGAAGCAAAAATGACTTGTTAAAGTGGGGCGAGTTACGTAGTAAAGGCGGATTGGCTCTTGGGTGAGCAGGTTGGAGGTAAAACGGGTTTCTACAGAAGATAATGCATCTGTCCGCGTTCTTGCGGAAGATTCATTCTCATACGGCACACATAGCGAGTAGTATGACGTCGTCCGAACTAGCGATCGCTATATTGATGTGAGCGATCGTCCCTCTCATCGCGGGTGTCGCCGTTGACCAACGCGGTCGCTCCTCCTCGACTGTAGGCTCCTTCTATGAACGAGGTGGTCCCCTCCTTTGTAGTAGCAGGATTCGTCTTTTCTTGTCACTGAAGTGTCGCCCCGTTGATTACCTTCGCCATACAGTCCGACCTCGTGGAGTTGGCGGCCATGGTGGTGGTATTGTGCAGCGCCAGTCTGGCCTTCGTACATGAATGCGGGCGAGCGCGTTTCCAAAGTTAGTTTTGGCAATGGAGGTGTGATGAGTCTTCCTGTGTTTTGAAGGAAGATCCAGTCTCTACGAGGAGTGGTGTACTTAATCACGTTCAGGCAGATGAGCAGGCTGAGAGTATTAGGTGGGGTAAGCGCACTTACCTGGCCGAATGAGGGAATCAGTATTACCTTGTATCCCCCACGTTCCACCGTAAGAGGCAGTCTTGTTGCATACTTGAGAGGAGCTGAGAAGTGTCATTGAGATAAGAGTAACAAGAAGACAGGCAGCGGCGGGCAAACCCACCTATCGCAAGTGTGGCCAGGGCTGACAGACTGAGAGTCTTCCTCAGTTCAATGGGTAGAGGTGCATGGTCGTTATTGGCCTGAGGAGCGGCTAGCTTCTGTCACGGTAAGGGAGGCGTCTTCTGAGATCCGCTACTAGTATGCTATGAAGGAAGAGGACTGTTGCTGCCATGCGTTGATTGCCACGCCCGACAACGTTTGACCGTTGCGACTTTCGTGAAGTAACGTGCAGAAACTTTATGTTGTTAGGCTAATGCCCATTGTTGTTGCACGCGAATGGTGTGCGCTCGGTATTTAGTCTGGGTTTTATCACGGTTTGGTCAGGCTTCGTATAGAACACAGGGGGAGAGGTCGGGCTGCAAAGAGAAAGTCTTCGTTGCAGGTTGGAGGATCGCTAGAGGGTCAACAACTCGTAGTTTTGATGTTGTTTGACCGAGCTGTTGTTGCGTCCTGGCTACCATTGCGGGGCCCTCCGGCGGTAGAAGGAAACAAGGCCCTCTCCTGGGAGTTGAGTTTGTCCCCCTCTTGTACCTCGCTGAGATGATGTATTTAAGGGACGTTGGACCCGGTTTCGAGCAGGTGATGCTCCCCACCAATAGATGGAGCGTCTTCTTTCCTTCTACCCTTCTAACTCTCAGTCTAGTCTATTGGTTACGAGAGGAAGGCGGCAGGCGGGATTGCAACCTGTAGGTCCGCACCAAGACTCTGTGGGGAGTCAGCCCACCGATTGCGGGAGCTCTGCCGGAACTCGGGAGGAGTTTTGGAGGCAGGGAATTGAGAGGTAATCTTCCACCTCCTTCTACAAACCCAGTTATAACCCCTATCTGTACTTCTTGCTATGTTTTGATTGAGTATACTGCATGTATCCTATGTTGACTTTGCGTTTGACTTTCAGGACACGCACCAGACTAAGTAAAGGAATGCATGCGCAGCAGATTGTGAGAAAAGGGGTTGCATCAGGGGGAAGGTGGGAGGAAGGCAACTATGTTTGAGGTTGAAAGGGTCTTAAAGGGTCAAGCATTGTTTCTAAGACGAATGGCCTGGTCGCTGTGTTTCTTGACTTGTTTTCTCCACAGCCAGGCATTGTTTCTAAGAGGAATGGTCTGGTTGTTGTTTCTTTTTGGAGTATTGACTGTGAAAACTTTAAGGACTAGACATTGTTACTAAAACGAATGAATGGTCTGGCCGCTGTTTGCTTTTTGGGTGGTTTCTGAACAGTCTCTGGGTCTTGACCTAGAGTACTCTGCTTTTTTCAGTGTTGAGAAAAGAGGGTCGAGCATTGTTTCTAAGACGAATGACTTAACTATTTTGGTTGTTTTATTCTGAGGGAGGTTCAGGCCAAAGACTGGACATTGTTTCTAAGACGAATGGTCTAAGTCTGAGGCCCTATGATTTTAACATGAACAAGGGAATAAGACTCTCTATATTTCTATATCTATATGCTTATAAGAACAAGGCTAGCCAGACATTGTTTCTAAGACGAATGGTCTGACTATAGCCTTATCATAAATTAAGAGAGTATAATTAAAGAGCTATAACTGGAGGTAACCTGGGCCGGTTGAGCATTGTTTCTAAGTCGAATAACTCAGTCCTACGTCCACTTTTG